TTAAATCGCGACAGTTTGGAAGTTAGTTAATGAAAATAAATTTTGGATAATTACTTTAAAAGTTATTTAAAATTAAAATTTATGTCTGGTGGAAGGGTGGAAGGGTGGAATGTTGAATTATTTTTATCTGAGTACAAAAAAACAGTAAATTTAAATACCAAAACCTTTTAAATACTATAACCTTTTGTATACCTATACAAAATAAAATATATGCATTTAGATGGTTAATGATGCCTCATCTTAAGAATAAGAACAATTAAGTATTATAATACTATTGAAAATGTTTTTAAAATGAGTTGGAATAATATTATCAGTAAATATACTTAATATGTACAAATTATAAATGCATATTTAAATAAAATATTAAAAGTTAAAAAATAACATTATCTATCTAATCATAATGTTTGTTTTTAGCTAAGGTCAAATTAAAATGGATTTGATAACAATGGCATTTATAAATTAGTTTTATTTAAATAATTATAACAGACCACACGTTTGTGCGCAGCCTAAATTTCAGCAATGTAAGTGTAACTTTTACGAACCAATTCCCACGGTTTTTTAACTCTGTTATTTATGTTTTATTATTAATCTAATATAATGTGTATTATTACGAAACGATTTTTAAGTGCTAATTAATTTAAAAATTATGGTATAAATATTATGTAAAATGTCCTACTGGGTAATTTTGAATAACACATTTTCAAACAATAGCTTCCAAGATTAGCTAAATTATTCTTTACAACACACTAAAGTTGGCATTAAATATCTTCTCTTAATAATTTAAAACCATATTTTTACTGTGTTTTATTGCTTCAAAGATTATATTTTCAATATTATTTAATTATTAAAGTTTAAAATTAAAACGGATAGAAATATTATTATTACCTATAAATTATACTCAACGAAACTCCTCTTATTTTTTAAAATTTTGGTCTGGAGGAAGGGTGGAATGTTGAATTATTTTTATCTGAGTACAAAAAAACAGTTAATTTAAATACTATAACATTTTGTATACCTATACAAAATAAAATATATTCATTTAGATGTTTAATGATGACTCATCATAAGAATAAAAAAAATTACGTATTATAATACAGTTGAATATTATTTTAAGTACAAGTTATATTAACTGTAAATATACACATGTACAAATTATAAAATAATATTAAAATAAAATAATAAAAGTTAAAAAATTACATTATCTATCTAAACATTATGTTTGTTTCTAGTTAAGGTCAAATTAAAATGGATGTTATAACAATTGCTTTATATATTAGTTTTATTTAATTAGTTGTGCGCGAGTCAAATTCCAACAATGTCAGTGTAACTTTCACGATCCAATTCCCACGGTTTTTCTAACTCTCGTGAACCCATCTGCTTCCTCTTATAATGGGCTTTTGAAATTTTAAACATAGATTCAGACTAAGAAATTTGGACGCTGTAAAAAATTGAGACTTTAATATGCATCATAAAACGAAAATTTATAAAATTGCGGATATTGTAAGAGATATTAAGTGTCTTATCCTTAATGAAACTCTATGTCAAGCCAATATATTTGCTAAATCAATTAATTCGTTGAGTATTGCTTTAAGAGAATAAAAATCTCTGCCCGTATTAAGTTTAAACTTTAATACTTAAATATTAATAATTTAAAAATGTTTGAGGCAACGAAACCCTGTAAAACAATATGGTTTGAAAAAATATTAGGCGATGTTTAATGCTAACTTTAGTGTCTTGTAAAGGTTGACGACTATTATCAACAATCAATATTTGTTTATTTTGGAAACTACTATAGCAACAATAATAATAGTTCAAATAAAAGAAAATACTGTTCGATTAATTTATTATGAAAACATTTTAAATGTTATTTAGAATTGTCTGATTGTTTATGGATACAAATCTGGTTAGGTTAGGTATTATACAAAAAAAAAAAGTTTATACAAATATAAAGTCAAGTTGAAACAACATATAATTAATATGCCAGTGAATTCCGATCACTGGTATATTGGAATATGTTTTACTTTATAATCTAAACTAATATCTGTATATTTTATACAAAAGTTTAAAATACCAATTCTATCTAATAATGTCGGCTATAACAAGGTATAACCCTCAAGTTTTAAACAGGTATACACACAGTAATTTAATAAAAATTAGTACAAAATAAATGTACCTAAAACAAACATAAATGCATCCTCTGAGCCTTCGAGTATAACCGCTTTCCCTGTTTTTTGACTCGGTAAATATTACAAATGTCTCTAAGTAATTTTAAATTTCATCCATACAGTCAAAACGGCACGTAAATTGTGTTGAATGAAATACATTTATAGAAAATAACAATACCCAATACGTAGCAACTCAGAATGCGGTAACCAGTTAATGCAATCAACAAAGTTTTTAAAAAAAATATTCACATTTAGCTTCCCATTACAACATAAATCCAAGGAGATCAAATAGTTACAAGGAGAAATGAAATATGTACAACATTTTGTATACTATTTGTTTTATATCAAAAAATAGTTTTGGGTTTTTTTCTTTAAAAAAGTAACATTTTTCAAATGTTTGCTAATCTTAAACAATTACCTCACTCTCGACTGATTGTGGTAATATCGCAAACACTTTATTGGCTTAAGTCTTATTATCCCCCAAAAGAAGAACACAAACTATAAAAATTACCACTAAACACGAATGAAATTAATTACAATGAAGAAGATGGAAGATAAAGCTGATGTTTTCTTATTAACTAAGTAATTTACTTGATAGACCAATAAAAATATATGTCCGCTTTGTGACTGGCCGTCTCTCGAACACACACAATCTTATTATGCAAAATAAATTATTTTGTTTTATGCGACGTTTAATGTAAAGTGATTATGAATAGTTAAGGAGACAATTTCACCGTGCAAACGACTGTAGTACATATTTTGTTTGCCACGTGACATAGATATTTTATAACAAACGTTTTGTTTTCGGCCGTGTACTTATACTACCTACTATTATCAATTGTAAAGATTTTCGTCAAAATGTTATTGTATATTTATTAATACAATTATCAAAAAAACGGCAGTTCAGTGAGGTTGGAGAGCATACTGAGGACGGTTAGGTCATCGGTCTACTGGAATTATATATTATAAAACTGATAAAATCACTTTTAAATAAACGCTTCGACGCAAACCTTAAATTAGTTTGTTCAAAACAGTACAGTCAAAACCATGCACGGTATCAATATACCAGCACTGTAAGAAATTGCCAAAACAATTCGTGGGACCTCCACATTTTTTTTTTTTTTCAAAATATAGTGACATAAATCTCACGTTAGGAATGCTGTTGAAATGTCGACGATTTTAGTTACAATTTTTGTACTCAATAAAAATGTTTATTTCCGTTACAATAAACCTTTGTGGTGAACAGAATGCGCCACCATGGGAGTAAAAAACATGTAGAGATTTAAATAACTGAAATTTATAAAAGTAACTTTTAGCTTCTATGCAAAGCCGATAAGATATTGGTTTTACTGTAGTGTAGGCTTTTTTGTGTCTGTAAACACTGTAACTTTTTTAATACTGGACCAATTCCTCCGAGTAGCAACTCTAGGTTTGTAGGGCAAATTATTAATGTTGTAGAAATTATCACAACAAGTTGAAATAAATGTACATTAATCAAAATAATTTTCTAGAATCTTAAACTAAAATATTTCCCTGTCTTAAATTAATAAGATTTAAAATTTTAATTAAATTTGATTAAATCAAACAGTTAATTAACTAGTTTTTGATTTACTTCCGTGATGATGATGACTGCTGTGATGGTCAATTTTTATCTTACTCTTTTTAAAGAACTCTAACATAATTAAATAATATATTTTTTTTAATTGACGCACTAAAGAGCAAATGATAAAGGTGAAATAAAGTTATACAAAAAGGAATAAAAATGTAACAAATTTATTGATGATATACACTAAGATCCTCAATATGCGAAACATTTATAAGATTAGCACCATCTATATTATACGTAAACAGTTCAAAAGATCGTTTACGACAAAAAGTGATCTGAACATTTTTAGAGATACTCAAACATTGACCATTTGACTTTTACAATACCCAGTTATGTTCAAATTGTCCTGTTAATTGCGACTATTAACAACTCAACAAACACTTGTATAGAATTTACATCATCGGCCAAAAACAAACAGCAAGAATGATGGAAAAAAAAAGAAATATCATTTATTAAAAATACGATGAATAACGATGGAGTTAAGTGAATACCGGAAGAAATAACATTATTAATACTAACTGGATGCCACCTACCTGAAGCTTATAAATCAAGCCAGTTAAGATAAGGGTTCTTCAGTTCAACATATTTTAATTTACCACACAGAACGTTTCAATTTAATGTATCAACGTTTTTTTATGTTAATAAAAACTGCATCTACATGCCCTCTGGTCACAACAGTAGAAACAATATCGAAATAAAATACAAGTAAAATTAACAATAGTTGATTTAATATTAAATTGTATAATTTACTATTTGTATAATATAGATTATAAATAAAAATTGTAATATTCGATTTTTGGTAAACCATTGATAATGAACATAAAAAATAATAAGATACATATTTATTTGCTATTTATAATAATTATAACCATTATAATATATAAAAAGGTGTTAAATAACTTTAATAAATACATATTAATTATAACTAATGTACATAGAACCAAGTGCTTTTTTGTACTCCAAAACATTTTCCAGCCCATAACATTTGATTTTTTAAATCTAAGTATATACCCTTTTAAGATATCTCCGGTAACTATACATCCTATTATACAATTTTGAAATCCAGTAAAAATACCCTGAGAAACAAAACACTACGTAAGACATGTTATATTATTATCATAGAGTTTTGTTTCTTTGTGTATAATATAATTTTAATAACAAAAAAAAGGGTATTTAAATTTGGTTTCTAAAATAGTAAACAATTTCAGTAAATTCTACATAATTAAAAAATATGTAAATACTATAAGCTACCAATTACGATCTTGGTTCTATTTTAACATAACATCCGTTGCTAAATTCCAGTGCTATGGTACACGATAATTTAAGATCTTTCGGAGTAGGGCATTTCTTTGATGGCGAAAAACGGTAGGACCTTACAAGAGTAGATATCGCAGTCTTCATTTGGAGCATTGCGTATTTCATTCCAATACAGTTTCTTGTGCCACCACTAAAAGGAATGTATGCAAAAGGATGACGACTGCGACACACGTCAGGTAAGAAGTTGTCAGGATTAAATTGATCTGGGTCCTTATAGTATTTGGGATTTAAATGCAAACAATAAATGGGAATCGTAATAATTGTGTCTGTAACATAATAATATTTGACAACTATTAATTAGGGACATGCAATTTAAAAAAAATATATTATTTTTAATAGGTTCTACCCGCCGGGATAAGATATTTTCCAATCATCATTTCGTTTTGTACTTGTCTGTGCACAAAAGGAATAGCTGGATAAAGTCGCATGGTTTCTTTGATTACACGTTCTAAGTATTCCATTTTTTGTAAATCCTCGTATGTAGGCGATCGGTTAAAATCACCATCAGAAAATATTGAATTTGTTTCTTGATAAACCTAGGGTCGAATATAATTAAATAATTTTAATTTTTAATAAATATGGATTTGTAATTTATTACAGAAATAATTACATTTTGTTGAACATCTTGATGATGAGCCAGCATAAATATAATTAATGAATTTTCCTTTGCAGTTGTTTCATGTCCCGCTTAAACAAAAATTCATTTAAATAACGTTTATTTAACAGAATTTTGGAAGTAGTTATTATTGTAAGTTAACATTTTATTTTTTTGGGAAGGGGAGAAGGTTTGAATTTGAAAAGAATGAGATGAATTGTTTCCTTATGTTTTATCATCATAAGTATATTTTGAGTACAACCTATGATGTATTAACAAAAACATAATAATTTATAATACATCATTAAAATACCTGTAACACCAATAATTTTAACTCCGAAAATAAGCTAGAACACAAAGCTAAAATTTACTTTTTACCGCTATAGAGTTTAAATAATATATTGCTTACCACTTATAATGGTTATAAGTTCGTCCTTCATTTCTTTATGTGTTACTTGATGTTCGTTTGCTAACAGAATTTCAATTAGATATTTCGGCTTTTGATAACTACAACCTTCATCACGACACCCGTTAATGGTAGATTTATCTTTTTCATTGAGTTCGACTTTTTTTTTCTGAATTAAATCATTCACATATTCATGCATTAAATGTTGACTATTTCGTTGTTCATGTTTTTTCGATGACAGTGAAAATAAACTTGAGCTTAAAAACCACGGATTCGAAAGTCGGTATGCAAAGATCTGGAATTACAAAATAAAAACAATAATCTCTTTAACAGATATTCAATAACAACATTGTCAGTCCAAAATTATATCTTTTCTGTTCCACTGGATTATTTTGCTACAAAAATGTAAAATAAAAACAAAACATTTTTTACTTCTGCTAGACGTGCATAACTATTTCGGAAATCGTGGTTTTCTTTGTTTTGTGAATTAAATTCTTCTCCCAACGCTGTTCTTCCAATAGTGTCTATCGATGCTAGTTCGAAAAATTGGCTTATTTCAAGTTCCATTGATTTTCTTTTACTCTTTTCACTCAATATGTGTTCAAGAATTCTAGATTCTTCGTAGAATAAAGTAATTAATGATTTTAAATTTGAATACTTTAGCCATTGATTTATAATTTTCCTAAATAACGTACGTATTATTAATTACTCATCTCCATTAAATAGGAATAGTATGTTCTATTTGTTTCTTACAAAATATTTATAACTATAATATCATACTATATACAACAATAATTTACCTGTTTCTTTTATAGTCATGTATATTATTATTTGTAATTAATCCCTTACTCGAGAAAACGTCTTCAATTATCGAATAAGGTATATTCTTTTGAAAACAGTTTAAACTATTCATTACTTCCTCTACATCATCGGCGTTGGATACACAAACAACCAACTTGTTAAAAAACCAAAATTTAAATAATGAATGCTTGTACCTTTAACAAAATGAATTCATTTTTAAAATTTGTCCACAATTACTTATATTACATATATAAATAATTAACACAATTATCATAGTCCAGGTTTCCCTATTTTTTTCTAACATGAATAGTTTCAATGGGAAGTCTTTAAAAAATCGTCACGGTAAAAGGCTATCAGCTATTTCCAAAATGATCATCAAGAGTATTTCGTTGAATAGTTATTATATTAAATTAGAAATATCGTGTTTTCATCCATAAATGTGCGGTTTTTACTATATTGCCTTTAAAAAGTTATAAAAATTTGTACGACGACAAAAATTTACAGAAATGTTCATATCTACAGATTTTAACTGGCGTTTAGACTCGTATACTCAGTGTGGTCAATACAGCGGAACGATGACTATCAATCCAAATATAAACTCTGCAATAAATCCGAAAAGTCAGAAAAACATTGGAGACATGAACACATTAAAAAATGTTTTTCATAATATTTCAATACTTAATGTATAGTTTTAATAACTCCATAAAAAATTATCATATTCGTTGAAATTGTTTATCATCTCAAAATCATGTTTAGTTTGGTGTAGGATCACGTTTTTTCATCAAATATTTGCATGTAAATTACGAGCAATTACTTCTTGTATAATAATTAGCTGGTTTTTACTATATTGTCTTTATAGATTTGAACAAATTATAACTCAAAAACATTTTTTCGGCAACTAGACCACATTATATCACAAAACATATTGTAAATGTTTATTTATGATTACTTACTTCTTACATAATTGTTTCAAGTTCTTTATAAACTTTATTTGTCGTCGAATTAAAATCGTCAGGCTTCCGACAATAAAATGACCTTTTGGACCAGGTATTTGAGCAGCCAAAGTAAATTGTCTTAGTTTTTTTTTCCTTAGCAAAATTACTATAGATATAACTAACACGATAGTAAGTATAATGGAATAAAAATAACTCATATCATGTATCTGAAAATTAAGCAAAATATAAATTGGAAACATTTAACTTACAATGTTATATGGCTCAAATCAATCTAAATAGAACATAAATAAAACATATTTTATCATTATGTATTCAAGAAAGAGACCAAAATGATATGGTTGCTGTTTAATATAAATTGCATCAGAAATTTTTAAAGGTAATAAGACTTTCTTTGCCTAGACAGACACTTAGCATTTATAGCTATAAATATATTTTGTAACAGGGACGAGCTTGCTGATTCAGGGTTAACTGATACAAAATATTAATCTTAGTGTTCATATTTGATACAAAATTTTATCAACTGATTACATTTTAAAAAACTTATAATTATTGTACTAAAAAATATAGTTTAATAACATATAATTAAACATACACAATTGTGATTCATTTTTTTTTATGACTTTAAGGTTTCATTTTTTTATATTTGATATTGTGTGTTTATACACTAAATAAAGTTTGTTTTCCATTTGAATTTTTATTTTAAAGATCACAAAATAGTTAATAATGTTTCTATAATGTTTCATAATAATGTTTCTGGCCGTTTTAAGTTTATACATTAATACTAAAATAATATTTATGATTTATTATTTGAGACAATGAAACAATTGAAAAAAAATTAACTGGTGGTATATTTTAATGTCAAATTTAGTGCCTTGTAATAAGTTATGGTCAACTACATAAAGTACTAATTCATAACTAAAATTTAAATTTTAATTGTCTGATAACGATTATTATCTGTTTTGAATATTCCTAATAATGCTTCTGTATAGAGCAAGCACTAACAAAAACTTTAAATAGCAATAACTTTTGAATAGTATGTTATAAAAAAGTCGTTTAACATTTGTGTGTTTAAAATAATATTTACTTACATAATATCCCAAAAAATATATGGGGTTCCGGTTTAAATTTAAAGAGTTACATTAAGTTAGAACTCTATAAGGCAAGAATTTAATTTAAGTGTTATAAAATAACACCTAACATCCAAAAGTCAAAATTGTAAAAAACAATAGCGTCTGAAAAATTGCCCATTTTCTAACATTTTGAACTATTTTACAATGTTTTATGGCACAAATAAATTTAAATATAATACAAAAATTAAATATTTTATCATTATGTACTCAAGATAGAGACCAAAGGAATATTGTGGTTGCTGATGAAAAAATAAAGATATAAAATAAAATAATATTATGTACTTTTTAATGATATTATTGTTACACTATTATAAGTTTGAAACACAAATAGTAAATTTCTCATAATTTGGTTCCTCATAAATGTTTTTTTCTTTAAATTGAATTTGTGTAATGGTCGACAACCAGCTTAAAATAATCATTTTTTAAGTTATTTCATCTTAAAATTTTGAATGAGAGGTGGAGTTTCGTTGAGTATTGCTCACACAGTTTTAGTACAGATAATTATAATACTATACTCCATTTTTCTACCCACCTTAAGAATAAACTTTAATACTAAAATACTATTGATGATATACTATGTGTGGCAATAAACCACGTAACTGTAAAAAAATTAAGGTTTTTAATTGAACAGATTTTATATAACGCTAAAATTAGTTTCTAATAAAGGTTAACTACTTAAAGCACTCAAACATTAAATTGGTAGTGAAACTTACTCGTTGAAATAAAAGAATCATGTTTTTGGAAACCGACAAAATAATACAGTAAAATAATACTATGTACTCTGTAATGATATTTTGATTTAAAACACAAATGTAATGAGCCAAATATATTATTCATGTATGGCTATTAATTTGTGTTCACACTAATTTTTACATCAATTTATTCACTTTCAATTATTACATGGCAATCAACTTTTTTATGTTTTTTCCTTGTTTTTGTATTATTTATTTCCCATAACTTATTTGAAACACTCTAGGTATAATACTGTTGTAAAAAAACCACATCAATGACTTTTAAGCTTCCACCATATAATTTATATATAATTAACTCAATTCTTATTATAATCACATCAAAATTATTTTTAAACAAAATTAGGATTATGATGGTATATAAGTTCTTCTTGGAATGTAATTTAGTGTATATATTATTATGTCAATTAGTTTTTATTCCCACAGTTTCTCTTCGATAATAATTCTAAAATAATTAAAAGTATATAAAAGTTTTTTTATTTTTAATATAAACGTTAATATTTCATCCTAAATTTAATATAATATGCATCAGAAATTATTAAAGGTAATAAGACTTTTACATTTTTTAATTACTGAGCAAGCTAAAAAACATTACGTAATAATACACAATAAATAATTTAACCTCCGAGCAGTGGCGCCTTTGAGAATCTCGTTGGCGGATGAGCCGCGGTGTTAACGCCGCCCAAGAAGATATATTTTGTTTTTTCACCTACCATGTTGATAATCTATCAACTAAAAAATAGGGAACGTTACACAAGGTTGACCTCACATGTTTAAACGCATTGCATTTAGTAAAGGCATAAAGGTTTTAGGTGACCTATAAATGTCGTAAAATAATCTCAAATTTGAAAAATAATAGTACATACACAATTATGTTTAATTTTTTTTAAATAACTTGAAATTGTAATTCTATTAATTTATTATTTTGTGTTTGTACTTTATGCACAAAGTTAAAGATAGTTATTCTATTAGAATTAGCTGTGAAAGTTGTATTTTATTATATTATGCATATTGATATAATTATATCATATGAAATTACAAAAATTTGATTAAAATTAAATTAATTTTCTTTAATTTTTATTAAAATACCCGTTTATAATTATTAACCATTTATTCCAAAAATGTTGACTGGTCGGTAACCAGTTTCGGATAACTATGTTTAAAGTTATCATAATTTTAATGTTAGGATGGGAGAGGAAGTGCGGTTGAGAAATGCGCGCAGATAAAAATAATACTACATTCAACCTTTCCTCCTGCCATAAACTTGAAACTTCAATTATTAAAATAAGTCTATCAATCTCTTACAACTTACATAAATGTAATTTGTGTTAATTAAATTTAACCTTATTTTGGCGATGTGTCTTTTAAGATACAAAAAGTCGGAATAAATATTCCAGTGTAAATATAAAAGATATATGGACTGTTGTTATTTTTTATGTTCTTTAGAATGATCATTAAGGTTACTGATATAATTTTACAGATTTTCTCTCGGTATTATATTTGTTATATCATTATTGTTTTGGACTGATTTTCAACACATTTTATAAACAGTTTAAAACCTAAATATATTAATTTTTTTTAAATAACTTAAAGGTAATGCTTTTAAATTTGTTATTGTGTGTTTGTACTTTTAAATTAAAGATAGTTATTCCATTAGAATTCTTAATTTTTTCAAACTACAGAATAGTGAATGTGTATAAAATATAATACATTTTAAATTATAATCTGATTGTCTGATTTGAATATTTCTAAAAATGCTTTATAAAATACACACGAACATATACTTTAAATAGCAATAACTTTTGAACAGTATGTTATAAAAAACTTTTTTAACATTTGTGTATTTAAAATAATAATCGATTACAGAATATTCCAACAAATTTATTGGTTCCCATTTAAAATTATAAAAGTTAATACCATGCTTGTTATCATTATGTACTCAAGATAGAGACCAAAGGAATATTATGGTTGCTGATGAAATAATATAGGTATAAAATATACAGCACGAACATAAACTTTAAAAAGCAAAAATTTGTTTTAAAGTATGTACAGTATTATAAATTCGTTTAACTTGTCGATGGTCAGAAGGTAAAAGAGCGTAAGCGACAAATATTTTCAAAATTGACTCTTTTGCATAAACAGCATAATTATACATCGATTGAACCAACTTACATATCGATATCATTTGTACCGGGTCATCCAACCAACGTAAGACATCATTTTTTCGGAAATATGAATATTTTGAAAATTATTTTTTTCCTATACTTTTTGATAAACGTTTTACTATGTTTTTCAATACTTTGAAATTGTTTATCTCCATCCCTTATACGATAAAAAGGGTTTAGATCACGTTTTCAAATGGCAACATATGTTTATAATTCCATAAATTTGTGGGTAAAAGTTTTTAAATTATGTTATCGTTTGAATTTTTTATTTTCATCCATCTAGTCGTTAGCTATGACTTTGTAAAGATATTAAATTTTCTCTTAAATATTATTACATATCTTTGGTTTCCGAAGACCAGGAGCCAATAAAATACTTATTTATGATCGCATTGTCCGATAGGTGAGTACACAGAAAACCAAACACAATCAAATGTTTTGTGATAGTCTGGTTGACCAGCGATTCATATCTACAGATCACCGACTTTTCGACATTTACCGAGTTTCGTTGCGTTTTACTTTAGTTTATATATCTTTTGTAAAATGTATTAAAAATAGCTCACAGAATATATCTGTAAATTAAGCGAAGTATGAATTGGAATTTTTCAACTTATAATTTTTTTTATGGCTTCAATCAATTTAAATATATTATAAATATTAACTATTTTAATACATTGCAGTAAAGAAGAAGACGGTAGAAATGAAACATAAAATTATAATACAAACAAATATAGTTTAATAACATATAATTAAACATACACAATTGTGATAACCTGTTACAAAATATTATTACTATTATACAATAGTGTTCATATATGATAAACTATTTTATCAACTGTTTACATTTTAAGAGGCATATTATTGTACTAAAAAATATAGTTTAATAATATTCAGCTAAACATACACATTTGTGATAAATTTTTTATGTCATTCTTTTATATTTGCTATTGTGTGTTTGTACACTAAATTAAAGTTAGTATTCCATTTGAGTTCTTATTTTAAAAATCACAAAATAGTACATGTTTTCAAAACATATTA